TCCAGCTTGCCCTCCAGCTTGCCCTCCAGCTTCTCCCCCTCCACAGCCCATGAGTCCAGTCAAACCACTGGTGTGCCCACCTCTCCTTGGAGCACAGCAGGAGTGACCTCAACTCCCCCACTGGTCTCGTCAACCTCTCCTCATTCGATATCCGCCACAGAGCCGTCTTCCCGCTCGAGGGTGACGGTGCCTTCCAGTGGGAGCCCAACCACAAGCCAGGAGTACTCATTTCCGGTAACTTCCAGCTCCCCCAGGCCTTCCCCGCAAGAGAGTCCTGAGACCCGCACGCTTCCCATCACTTCCTCGGTCACCGCCGGCCCACAGCTGGTCTCGTCTGGCACCACGGAGTCACCCACTATGTCTTCTCCGACTGCGGAGCAGCCAAGCACCACGCGGGCCTCTTCCCCTCACCTTTCGTCCACAGGGACCACCCACCAGGAAAGGACCTTGGAATCCATGAGTCAGAGCACGAGCGAAGAGACAGAAAGTAGTACGCCCACGGCGGGAAGAAGCGTGCCCAGCACCACGGTGTCGAACAGAAGCAATCGTGAGGCCAGCTTGCCCTCCAGCTTGCCCTCCAGCTTGCCCTCCAGCTTCTCCCCCTCCACAGCCCATGAGTCCAGTCAAACCACTGGCATGCCCACCTCTCCTCGGAGCACAGCAGAAGTGACTTCCACTCCCCCACCGGTCTCGTCAACCCCTCCTTCATCGACGTCCGCCAGAGAGCCCTCTTCCCGCTCGAGGGTGACGTTGCCTTCCAGTGGCAGCCCAACCACAAGCCAGGAGGCCTCACTTCCAATAACTTCCAGCACCTCCAGGCCTTCCCCACAAGAGAGTCATGAGACCCCCACACTTCCCATCACTTCCTCTGGCACCGCCGGTCCGCAGCTGGTCTCCTCTGGCACCACGGAGTCACTGACTCCCTCTTCCCCCACCGCGGAGCAGCCAAGCACAACGCTGGCCTCTTCCCCTCACCTTTCGTCCACAGGGACCACCCATCAGGAAAGGACCTTGGAATCCATGAGTCGGAGCACGAGCAAAGAGACAGAAAGTAGTACGCCCATGGTGGGAAGCAGCATGCCCAGCATCACGGTGTCGCCCGGAAGCATTCGCGAGGTCAGCTTGCCCTCCAGCTTCTCCCCCTCCACAGCCCATGAGTCCAGTGAAACCACTGGTGTGCCCACTTCTCCTCGGAGCACAGCAGAAGTGACTTCCACTCCCCCACCGGTCTCGTCAACCCCTCCTTCATCGACGTCCGCCAGAGAGCCCTCTTCCCGCTCGAGGGTGACAATGCCTTCCACTGGGAGCCCAACCACAAGCCAGGTGGCCTCACCTCCAATAACTTCCAGCACCTCCAGGCCTTCCCCACAAGAGAGTCGTGAGACCCCCACACTTCCCATCACTTCCTCTGTCACCGCCGGTCCGCAGCTGGTCTCCTCTGGCACCACGGAGTCACTGACTCCCTCTTCCCCCACCGCGGAGCAGCCAAGCACAACGCTGGCCTCTTCCCCTCACCTTGCGTC